GTGTTCCAAAACCAGGCAAGTTTGCTCCTTCAGAGCTGAATATATGTAGCTTTTTTCTGGAGCCTGTTTAAAGTTCAGTCCCGTGCTAAAGAGAGTCCACCAGCTCCCAGTAACGCAGTACTGATGCTGGGCAGGTAGCCAGGGAAGTTGTAGGGCCTTTTGGAATCCGATTTGGATACAGCAGCAGGATCCGTTGGACTTGGTAACTTTGGCTGTGTTAGTGTCAGAAATCCTCATTTGTGCCAAAACCAATGAAAGTAGGATCGATCCCTCCTTTTTGTGACATATTTTTTTAAAAAATCTGTTTTACTGCCAGAGCAGAGCTCCTGACTGTGGTCTAGAACAGGGCAGGATGACAGGGACATTTTCCCCTGTGCCAGGCAAGGATGGGAGCTTGCGGCTGGGTGTTCAGTGAAACAGAGAGGCCGCCTGGCCTGGGAGCAAAGGGCCCTGTAGCTTGACAGGCAGTTGACAGGACAGGGTCAGTGTGGAGACTGTTGCCTTCCCTCATCACTCACACTTTCCACATATGTTAACATAAGCACCTTCTAGCTTTTCTGGATTTTAAATGGTCTAAACAATGAGGATTTTGCCCTAATCCCCAGGAGAAGTGCTCCTCCATCATAGAAAGGCTCTCTTTATTCCTGATGTGCAAGAAGTTAATAGCATTCCTAAGCACTCTTGCAGATGTGAGCAGTACGCTGTAGATAAGTTATATCAGGAGAAAGTGTTATCACTTGGGCTTACATATTTTGAGCTTATCCATTGGACTCTAAAAAGCTGTTGCATTTAATTACCCATTTCACAAAGCATTTACTAATCATTTATTAGCTCTTTGTTCGTTTGCTGTAGATGTAACTTGACATATAAAGTGAGCCCAGTCATTTTATAACCAAGCACATCTCAGGAGGAGGAAAGCACTGGGTGATAAGAAAGGCCTTACTCATCTTGGTACTTGGTGGTACAGCTCTAGCTGCGGCCCCTGGGTACTTTGGGAACATAAATACTAGTGCCTTAAGTTGCCCCATCACCTGAGATATCTGGGGCACTGAATGAATTAGGTGGAAGGCTGCATATTGGACTGGAGATTTCTAACCTTAAGTTATCACTGCCAAGCCTTGCAATTTATCCTGCATAGCCATTCACTTCCTGTGAGTGAACCTTTCCCAGCCCTGGACTCCCCAGCACCCAGTGTGGGTCTCAGAGCTCACAACGCTGCAGCCTTCCCTCTGCACCATCAGTTAACAGAACAGGAGGACAATCATGGCGTAGGGAACATGCCCGCCAGCAGAATTGTGTACTTAGGAGAGTGCAACAAAAAACCTCTCTTTGGTACCCAGTGTTGTAGAGTTGCAGGTATAAGCATAGTCAACCCGACAAGGACAGTCATCTGTCATGCTTCATCCCTTGCTGTCTGTCTGCTCCCAAATAAACATCAGTGGAAAATCCTTAGTGTTCAGCATTACTGACTGCAAGTCCTGGGATCAGAGAGCTTCAGGAAACAGCAAAGTATCTTCCTTGCCAGAAAGACCAACACTGTCAGAGTAGTTTCCTCAAAAACTTATAGGCTCTGCCAGGGGAATCAGGGTCAAATTTTCCCCAGATGTTGAAACTTCCCCATGATTGCTACCAGAAAATAAAGAAACCTTTATTTCCTTATAGAGCAGCATCCCACTTCTCCTCTGTTGTCCTCTGCAAGGAGAGCAGCACAGCAAGCAGCAAAACACAGCGACTGCCAAACAAACAAACAACAAACCACCTAAGAAATGAGTGTCTCTATTCTGGCATTATAAGAAAAACATTATAAGGCCCAGGATCATCTCAACCAGCTTGAGACATCTTAATGAAACACCTAATTTAGGCAGGTGTTTCTCTTTTGCTCTAGTCAATAGAGTAAGGAAGCTTTGAGAACAGAAGAGGAGACAACATTTTCTAAATGCTGTTGCTTTATTTCTACCTGCGCCCCGCCCTCCACCTCCCCTAAAAAAATCATAGCCCACCTGGGGTTTAAATTCCTTTTCAGGCTTTCCTAATGAATGTTTCTCTGAATGTTTGCATGTCTTCTATTTGGCCTCAAAATGGGGAAAAGCTTAAGTTAATAAGTTTTTATTTGATTTGTAAATAATGCCAGAGTGACACATTATCGCAGATTCTCAGAACTCTGACTCCATGTCTTGTCCTCCAGATACGACATGCCAGAGACATCACCCAAGTAGGCTGCAAGGTACAGGGTAGGGAATGAAGATTAAAATAACTTAGGAAAGACCATCTAGAACTTTATCCTGTACCTCTGTTTAGCCCACAATCTGTCAGGAGCTGGTGAAATAATTGCTTTGGACAGATAATAAAACATCCTCCAGCAAAACTAAGGTACTTAATATACTGCCCAAGTCGATTTCCCTTATTTCTGCTGTCCTCTTGCTTTTAATAATGGTTTAATGAAAAATTCAAAATTAATTGGAACTGGCATTAGACAGTCACATGTTCCAGTGAGGGTTTCACTGCTTCAATATTTTATAAGCTGACTTCACTGCTATGCTTCTCCTTATCTTGGCTTTCATAGGCTAGAATAGCATCTCCTTTCATAAAATGGAGGATCCCAATATGGGTGGATGGGGGTACATGAGAAAAGTTTGCAACCACACCATAGGCAAAGAAATAAAAATAATAGCTCTGTGTTTTCTTTCTGCCACCATCCCCCCTTTCTATGTAATGATACGCATCTGAGCCTTGACTGGGAAGAGCTGTCCTAAAAATAAACAGGAACCGTCTGAAAGGTGTCTGAAGGAGGTAGCTGGCAACTGTCAGGCTGTCACGTATTCTAGAAGGATGGAGCTGATGGACTCACTGACACCAGACAGGCTCTGCTGAAATGAGAATGCCTTATGCTTCCCTTGGCACTCACTGGGCAAATTCTGTTGGCCAGAGCCATCAGACCTCGGTGTGTCTGGGGCCTGATCCAGTTCTAGCTGCTGTCAAAGAGAGTCTGCCCTTGGATGGCAGTGGGAATTGGCTCAGACTCTTGCTTTACTCCTGAGACTCTGGCTTTATACCAGGGATGAATTTTGGCTCCCCAGGAAAATGTTACCCCAATGGAGAAAGATACACCAGACCCCAGGCTTGAAAGTTTCTGTAGGTCTCGGAAAATGAGACGTCTCACTGAGATGCCTAGATATGAGGACCAGAGCCTAACCTTTGACATTTTTTGTTATAACAGCTTTGCACCACTCTGTGCCTCAGTTTCTTCTTCTCTAATAGGGGTGATGTTGTCCTGTCTTCAAGATTATTAACATAGCTGTAGATCCAGGCATTTTAAAATGCTTCCAGACCATGACTGTGCTAAAAGCTGTTCCTATTTCCCACAAGGTGCTTAATGAACATGTGTTACACCATGCAGCAGTCATGACGAGCAAACAGAAACACAAAGGCATGACATGACTCATCTCAAGCCTTTGCAGCAACTCAGTGGCAGATTGAGGACCCAGGAATCCCAGTCCCCACCAAAACAATCATACCTTTACAGTGACTGAATCTGGAAAGAAAATCTTGCTAGCAGAAGCTTCACTTATTCTCAAGTGCACAGGGAAATCTTCGTTGCCTGTGGTGTAACTGAAGATATTTGCTGCTGTTCTTGGCAGAGACATAATGTGCTGGGGCAGGAAAAAGAAGGGAGGTGTGAAGACAGGGTGGAAAACTCCTTGTTTCTCAATGGGAGAGTGGACACCGCTCTTGTTCTCAATGGGAGCTGACTGCTACCATATCTGAAAATCTGACAGCTTGTTTTGTTATCTAATGGGCAAGAGCAGCCCCTTTTTAGTGAAGAGCAGACTATGAAGTCAACTATCTTGCAGTACTTTGGTCTGAAAATACTGGTCTGTGTTGAGAAGAATGGACAAGGGAATTAATTCCTGTAATATGGGCTGCAGGAAATTACCTACAAGATAAGAGGGTGACTTGATCTTTTTGAGAAAAAATAAAAAAAAAAAAAGAATTCCTTATCTTGATGATGTTTGCTCTGAAGTATCATCTTGTGACTGCCAGAGTCTGCCTGGCAGGATCATTCAATTACAGCCGGCTCCCCCAGCTGGCATTGCTTCCTTCCTTTCGGAGGTATCGTTGTATTTACCAAAGTATTGCTTATTCCTCTTGGTATTCTGAGGCCTCTGTTGTCGCCTGTTTGCATGGTGTGCCTGCAGCCCCGTGATGCTGTCCTCGTTCACGTGCTAAAGCAGGATACGACCAGCCCTTCAATTAGGCAGGGATCTGAAAGGAAGAGGAAATGAAGATGATGAACCAGTGAGGAGCACATGTAAATCAATATTAGATATCTGATGGTGTGATGCGCAATGAATGAGTCCTACTGCTTTTGGAGGGTCCTAGCTTGTTTGCCTACAATAACTATACAAAAAAACTAGGGGGAAACTGCACTGCACTAATGAGGGGTGTTCACACAGCCTGGCTCTGTGACTCCTTCAGGGTGCTCTGGCTCTCCCCCATGAGGAATTTTTCACTATACAGAGTACTTTTCTCTTCTTCATTAAAATGGCCATGTTAAATATCAGTGAGGTTCCTCAATGCCTACTTTGTTGAATTGATCTACCCCACTGCTGGCAGCTTGTTGGAGCAGGAGACATGAGGTTATTAAACCCATTCATTTCTCACATGTACCCACATTTCTAGTGGCTCTGGAGATCCAGTTTGAAAGTCATCCTAGAGCCATCGGAATGAAGAGCACTGTTTGAAGACGTTGTAATTATCATGGGATTTAGGGGTGTGTGGAAATGACTCATGGAGAGGTTTCCCAGCCAGCAGGCTCTTGGAACCAGGTGAGCTCTTCCCTGGAATGTAAAGCATGCAGCATGGCAACTGGGAGGAACAGGTTTGGCAGGACATTTTAAGTTGTTCACGGCAGACAGACTCTTCAGAGCCACATCCCTGCTTTACCGACCTCCCAGCTGGATGCTCTGCTCTGCCACACTGGCCTTGGTGATCTGGAAAGGATGGACACGCTGCGAAGGAGCCTTTCTCGCTGGAAGAGGTACCACATTAAGGTGCACCTGGCTGATGAGGACCTGATGATGCCCCTGACAGTCAAGCCCAGAGACACAGTGATGGACCTACGGGCTCACTTAGTACGGGAGGGCGTCACTTCTTGGAAGAAGACATTTTATTACAACTCCAGGCAGCTTGAAGAGCACGAGACTCTCAAAGAAGCCAATATTCAAAATGGCTCTGTCCTGCTTCTTGTCAGCAATAAAAGGTAGGTAAGGAGCTCGTCTGCAGCGGGGGTGGTGCAAAGGAAGGGGATTGCTCTGTGTATCTCAGCCCCTACGGACACTTTCCTATTGGGGTCTGCAGAAAGCAGATCAGGAATTCAAACCCTGCAATTTCCAGCAGGCGGATTGAGATTCAAGGCTCTTCATAGCCAGACATGCCGTGGTGTGAAATGAGGGGGTAAGAGAAGGAGGAAATCTGGTTGATACTGCCTGTCCTGTCTTTGATCAGGTCTCACTTTCCTGACTATGTGGCCAAGCACAGAGGGAGAGAAAAAGGGCATAGGAGATTGTGTGACACGGGGGAGTGCTCTGGGAGCCTCTCACTTGCCCTCATTCTTTCTTGTTGTGCCTGGTTCTCTCCATTTCTTTTTGGTAGATACTTTCTGCAAGTATTTGGGGGTGGCACAGTCCTGCTTTGACAGGGCAGAGCTGTGAGCCGCCAGCTTACAGCAAAGCAGAATGAGTGCTGGACAGAGACAGCAAGAGTTTGCAGCTTCCCAAAATGTGGCCAGATCATAGAAGAAAAGTACAGTGAGACTAGAGACTTCCAGGATAGCCAGTGCAAAGGAGATCAGTCAGGGAAAGTATTATGTTCCAGTGGGAATGAAAGCTGAGATAATGGACCTGAGACCCACTGGCCCACAGGAGTTTATATTCAGTGGTGTGAATTTATGCCTACCTGTGCTGCCGTTCCTAATGCCTGGCTGTTGCTGCCAGCGTGATTAATTCTGTGAAGCATTTTGAGGATACTGAGTAGAAGAGGTGCACAGCAGAGCACGGGTGCATCGTGTCTAATTCAGCTTTCTAAATCCTGAGCCCTGAGTTATGTGTCTATGCTGATCAGAGATTCCTCTGCAGAAAAACCCGCACTAAAGACTTCAGTTCCTGATTATATGCCACATACTGGAATGGTCCTATTTTCCAGTCCAGAGGCAGCTTGAAATCGCACACAAAGAAGATTTAATAAAGCATTTCCTTTCAGAGCACAGCCAGACACACGAGATTTCACATTGCTCAGCTAACTGCAAACCCCAAGTCACTCACAGGCCCCTTCTCCAACATCTCATTTCAGCTCTCTGATTAACTTGGCTCAGCTCCTCCTTTTCACCTTGTTTTTAATGGCAAGAGCATTTCTATTTGTTGTTGTTTCCAGTGTTTATTTTCTTAAATTGTACAGCCTGAATATCTGAGAGTGAAAAAGGATTTGGAGGGACTCAGCTGACAGAGTACACATATTGATGCTTTTTTGTCAGATGCCTTATTTCCATAACGTGCTGTGCACCTTCCCACATGCTGCAAAAGCAGGGTGTAACTGCAGCAATGCAAAAATGACCAGGAGATCCTGTCCCTGGTGTGCTGAGTTCAGGGTGCCCACCTGAAGTCAGTGGCCATTTTGGGAAATTTAGTCTGTTGCTCAAAGTCCCAGATCAATTTCTGTGACTACATGAAAAAGGGGTTTGGATTTCTAATATTTTTCTTCTTGAATTTCATCCAAACCTTCCTAGCTCCTAAACAAGAACCTTTGGCCAATCTCTTATTCTTTCTCCCAGGGCTGGGTGCATTGTGGGGGATGGACAGTCTCTCCCTGAAGTCGTATCTCTCCTTGAGTTCTTGGACACAAAGGATTATTAGGTTGTGACAACCTCAGCCACTCCCAAAAGTATTTTGTATGGCATGAGTGGTAAATGCCCAGGTACTGGGGATATATTTCTCTAAAGGCTCACGGGGGTGACTGAGCTATCGTTGTAGCAGGGTCCCCCTAGATATTTCTGAGACATGTTTGTGTGTGGCTTGGCAGTCACCACCCTGCTTGGTACACAGTCCTGGGCTGAGTGCAGCCTCTGTGACTCAGCACCTTGCCAGATCCTCAGCATACAGAGGGCTGGTTTGTAGAGGGCTCTATCATTTCAACTGGGAGTTAGGAAATACAGAGTGGGAGAAAGCAGGTGCTGCATTGCAACTGAGATTACAGCACCATTTTGAGCCATAAGATTATTTCAGCCAGATCTTTAGGTATTATAAATCCACGTTGCTCTGACAGTGACTGCAGAGATGTGCTGGTCTCTATCAGCTGGGCAACAGCGTGCAACCTTGGGGAATATGAGGAGAGCAGCCTGTGCAGTATGGGACTGCCTAGGAGCAGAGAGGAATAGAGAACATGGTGCTGGGTTTGGCTAGCAGCCCCGAGGATTTAAGAGCTGGTTTTAGTACTTCATCCACTCAGTGAAGTATGGACCCTCTCCATCAAAGGTCAGCATCTGCTTCTTAAGAGTTCTCCCTGAAAATCTTGGTGTGTCCTACTTACTCTTTTGCACTGAGATGCCAGCCAAGCAGAGTTATATTAATTCCAAAAGTGAAGTTGCTCTGATTGCCAAGGTCTGTAGCTCAGTGTCGTGCCTATAAATATTAATGGTCACTCTGCATGCTGTGTGTTCCTACAAGGGGCTCACAGGACAGTTTACTTTGAATCAGAGAAAACATGAAAATGACCCTATTTTTCACTCTCCCCCCCACCCCCCCTAATGCCTTTGTAGATAATTGGCATTTAGCAAAGACCAAGTCAGCATTTCTACTTCTTGCTCGTGTTTTCTGGGGTTTATAACTTAGTCATAAAAATTCACTTAAGGCTGCAGCTTGGCAGGAAGGGGATCAGCATACCAGCTAATGCTGAAAATTTATTTGGATCTTGGTGTTTAAAAGTTTGAGCAAGCCATTTTGGAGTTCAGTCAACACGACCTCTCGCCCTGGGAAAACACATGGGTAGGCCAGAACTGGGAATATCACATCCACTGAGGATGCAATTCCCCCTTGTGCAGAGCTTGTTAATTATATTACTGCTGCACTGATTGAGATTGCAATCCTGTTGCAGTAGAAGCTGAGCAAAGAACATGCTGAAAAGCAGTTTCTGCCCTAGAGAGCTACATATTACAGTAACACGGTTTGCAAGTGGGTAAAACAAGCAAAGCAAGACTTGAAATGTGAATGAACAGAGAGAGAAACTCCCCAGCTCAGTGGCCTTAGGCCAGCCTGTGGTGTTCAAGCCATCGGTGCCCAACGCAAGGAGACCACCAGCAAGTCTCGACATGAAAAGAGCAGCCATCCAGCACAGATGCAAGTGCAGCCACAGGGGCACGCAGGAGGCTGTCGCAAATGCCCGAGGTGTTATCAGGCCTGGCACTGCGGACCACGCCACTGCAGAACCTGTTTGGCTCGCTCTGGAGGTGGTGCAGGGCCCCAGAGCCAGGGAGCTGCTCAGCTGGTCTGGTGGGGATGTGGGAGTTCCTGAAACTGGCACGACTCTTCCCAAATTTTGTCTGCCACAGCGAGCCGCCCGGATGCTCTTTGCCGGCTGCGTGCTGAGGAGCACAAACCAAAGAGGCCTCCCACGGTACAGTCAGCAGCAGTGCTGGATCGTGGGCATATGGCATTAGCTGCTCCTTCCTGATAATTTATTGGCTGCATTTTGATGCTTGATGCTAGGTGGAGGGATATTGTTTTGAACTGGTGAATCCACCACTTACCCCATGAGCTATTTCAAATAGAGGATGTAAATGGGTGATCCAGACTGATTTCTAGACATGCCATGTGCCTATCACTGGCTGTTGCTGAGGATGTACAGCTCCAGCTGGATCTGGATGTGGTATAAGCACAAGCACGTTGACTGAGCCTTTGCACTTGGTTTTCAGGCTGCTTTCTTGTGTGGTCACCTCTAGCAGTATGTCAGACAAGGTCTGTACTAAAAAATTAACCAGTGCCTGGACTGTTCTCTGTTACAATGCTGGAATATGGCACCACAGTTTTGGCCCAGTCCAGATGCATTTCAGGAGCTGGCATGGGCCAGGGACTGTTCCTTATGGGCTGTCTGGATGCGACCATGCAGGTTTGGAGGGTAAGAATTTAATGTGAAAACACTGGCCATTCTGTGCCAGCTGTCCTCTCAACGCAGAAGGAAGTCCCAGGCACATTTAATTTACTGGCATAGATTCAGCCACAGCACATAGGATCCCCTCAGTCTTTTGGAAGCTGAGGCTCATTGAGGCTATTGTCATCATACATGGCTTGCCCAGAGAACGGAGTTCAGTAAGTCATTGGTGAATAGGTTAAATAAAGTAGATGCTGGCCTTGAATTTAGCAGAAGTCTATTATCTGGAATCTATTGGTGTTGATTTTCTGGCCTGGAGCCACCTGAAAACATCTATCTCCAGGCGTTAGCTCAGTTACCATAACAACTCATCTAGGAACAACTGACAGCTCTAAGAGCAGACCAAGGTCCCACGTGGTATATAAGCCACTCTTAGGTCAAGATAAGCACGTCCAGGACTCTCCCTCTTCCACAATCCAGCTTCAGTGTCCATGGTGAGTGCCAGTGCTTATACAAGCTTTAATATACCCAGGACCCTGTTTTATCCTTCAGAGGATATGCAGCCTAGTTTTCCAAAGGTCCATCCACTTAAGGAACTACCTCCTGGCAGAATAACAAAACCATCCACCTTTGGGGAACCCTGCTAATTCCCTTATTGGCATTCAGCTTACAGTCTCTGATTTTTGGCCTCATAAATGAAAACTATGACTGAGCCACTTGCATAAGGTCCAGTTTAGCTGATGCTGAGAAACTACAGCCTACATTTGACTCCTGTGATGACATAAGGATCGATGTTTGACATAAACACTCGGCAGTGGCTCACTCCAGGTTTATATTACTCCACTATCCTGTCACACCTTCTCACTCACTGGAATTGCCTGAGCAGCAGGCACCAAGCACAGCAGACGATGTTGGATCTCTAGAAAGGGGAACCGGAAAAAGAATGGGATCTACACAGTTTGACCCTGCATAGAAAGCCAATACTACACTACAGCCCAGACATGAATTAAGTCCCTTACGCTGGGTTTTAGTGTGATTTGGTGATGCCTGCTCCTTGCATTGACCTTCCAGCTCCTGGAGTTGCTCAACAATTACTTCTCAGCATGGAAGGGAGACTTTTCACTCCCATCCAACTACTACAGACTTGCCCTGTTAAGCTTAGGCCTAGCAGCAGGCTCCAAGGCATCTCACAGTAGGATAACGATCCTTTAAATAGCACTGGGAGTCTCTCTTCTCAGGGAGAACTAATTAAGTTATTCAGCACATGCTTAGACATATGTTGACCTGGTATGGCCTTAACAGGCCTGCTTCCATCTACTGGATAAATAACACTGGCTTAAAAAATATCCTCCTAGAGATGCGTTACTTAGGCAACAGCCAGGTGGGGGACTGACTTCATCTCTGTGGCTGAAGGTAATATTTATGTGTATTACTCACAGGCCAAGCTCTCTGCTGGTATAAACTCCTTGAAATCAGTTAAGTGATTTTTAAGTTCCAAAAGCATTGGTGCAGTTACCTCTGCTGACCTCTTCCAGCATACAGGCCAGAAAATGACACCTGTGTTTAGCTCAGTTACTTACTGTTCAGCCCAAGAAGCTCATTTAACAAAAGCAAAAGGTTGCATCAGTGGAGAACATGGTCCATAGGATCTGAACTCCTCCCCTGTGCAGTCGCATGGGATTGCAGTAGATGAAACTGAGCTAATATGTCCCTTGGGGGGGTCTGTCTTGGCTCTAGGCAAAGAATTAACAAATGTTAAGTATGTTCTAAACAAGGTTCTCTTCTGGTATGATATGGCACAGCCTTCTGGACTGCTCTGCAGCTGTGCAGATTTATACCATGTGAGGATTTTGCCCAGTTGGGATAAATATGCTCTCCTGTGTCCTTGTGTTTTATGGGGCAGATGTGCTACAGGGTGGGCTCACAGCAAAACCTCAGCTATCACAATCCCCTGAAATTTCAAGTGAGGAAACAAGTGCTGGAATATGAATCCTGCTCTGGGTCTTGCAGAAAACCCAACCAGTGATGGGTATCAGTAGACTTGTAGTGTCTTTCGCTAGGACCCAGCAAAAAGCCCTGCCCCATGAACTCTGAACTTCTCTAAATCCTGATGAAATATTTGCAGGACAGGCTCAGTTTCTTGGCTGCAAAATTACAAAGAGCAATTCACAGGAGTCAGCCCTGCACTTACCAGCCTGGCTGCGTAGGGTAGCTGCCTGGTAGAGCTGCTGCCTATGGGCCATGAGTATCTTGGTTGCAGTCCAAGTCACGATAATGAGCTCTGTAAGCAAATGCTAGCCCTGAAGAAGTACCCCTAGGAACTCGCAAGAGCTTCAGTCTCTGTTCTGGAGACCCCAAGGGGTAGCCCTAGATGATTTCTAAGGATTTTCATAAGAGTAACTATGAAAGCAATTCTACTTTTGCTAAGCTTAAGTCCTCTACGCAGGGTCTATACCCCTGTCAGAAAGTATTTATGGAACCATAACCTCAGAAAACCACCATTTAGTGCTAATGCATGGGGGTGGGCATGTCTAGAGCAATTCAAGCTCTTACTGTAAACATCCTCAAAGTGCTCCTAAAGCTACAGGCTGCCCTTGTTCTAACAAGAAAAATGGATTTTCAGGAGCGTGCATTAAAAAGGGAGAGTCTTGCTTATGGGGAAAAAGGCTTCCAGGCAGTTGCAGATTATGTGAAGGAGGGTGAAGGCATCTTTTGTGGAAGGATAAACAGGTTTGAAACCCTGAAAGTGGCTTATTCTCAGCTATACAGTGTGACTGAAAAAACAACGCAGTCAAAGGATCAGGTTTATATTCTCCCCACAACACGGTCAGTGCCTCCTTGGTCAAATACCATTTTTGATCGTATGTCTACAGTGCTCCAAGTACTTGCCTCTTTCTTACTCAGATAATGCCAAAGAGCACAGCCAAAGCCATGAGAGATGGGGAGTGCGACAAGGGCTGAAGGGAAGCAGATGGAAGAGAGCTTGGCCGTGGAAAGGCAGCCTGGCCAGTAGCATTTGGTAAGTCCCTCCCTGCACGCCAGCTCAAGGACTGTTCAGAAAGCAGCTCTGAGTGTTTTCAGCACAGTGCCCATGAATAATTAACCCAAACAAAACAACAAATAACGTTTCCTCATCAGCACCCCATGTGGTTTCAGCTGCCACAGGAGAAGCATGGGTAAGACTGACTCAGCTCCTGCGGGCAGTGAATCAGAGTGAAATGCCCATGAAAGGGTGAATTCTGCCTGGGTGATGAAGTGAGAAGGAGCTGAGGTGGACTTTGCTTAGGGCCCCAGATGGGGACACTGGACATCTGAGCCTCCTTCCAACTCTCTCACGATTCCTCAGTAAGTTGCAGATCTTAGCCTTTGTTTTCCTATGTCTAAGTCTGAGATAATTTATTCTTCCCTTTGTCAGTTATTCTACTCTTTGTCCCTCCAGCTGTGACTCAGGTTAGGGACTGTCTGGGCCCCTGAACAGTTCCTATACAGCGGGGCCCTGACTTCTATGTTGAAGGCTCTTTACAGCAAGTAAGTGATAAGCACACAATAGGCAGTCCTGGAGCTTGACAGCCTTTATGTATCCAAAGGACAGAGACTGGTCGGTCACTGTTATGGCGACTATCTCACCTGACACTAGGGACCTGCTGTTATACCAAAACTGCCTTATTTTTGAGCCAGGGTTTATAAGGCAATGAGCCTCCTTGTGGTGTTCTTCCATCTGTGTGCCAGTCCCCCTGCTACGATAAATTCTGGACCAGCTGACCTCATTCAACCCAGTTTGATGGAAAGAGAGTCTCCCAGACCCAAGATTCCTGCAATTTTCATGAAAAAACAGCAGCTGGATAGAAGAGAGACATTTAAGTTAATATCCTACTGAAAGAAAGGTAATTACACCTGTTGCTCCCTATCTATTTTGTGATGCAGCAGCCAGGTGACCAGCTGGCATTTAGATACTGGCTGGTCAATCAGTACATGCCTAGCTTCAAACCAGCTCCCGCGCTTGCTGCCCCTTGCCTGCAGAGGAAGAAGCTGTTGGAGGAGATGAAGACTTTGCTGGGGAGGCCTGGAGGGGATAAGGATGCCCTAGGGATATTACAGTGAGATGGGAACACCAGAAAGGAAGAAATAAAAAGCAGTTGTAATACACAAATCAGAAAGAGAACAGGTTTCACCAGTTCCCCTGCTCACAGAACAGCTTGATTTTTAGGTTCAAACTTATTTTCAGGACAAAATGGATGTTTCTCTAGCCATTACAGTACTTTCCCCAGAAAATTTCAATGACTGGGAACTGTATTATCAAATCCCCTAAACCTGCATTTTCTATTTTTCAAGTAAAAAACGTATTTCTGGACTTCTTTGGCAATAAGAAAACATTTGATTCTTTTTTTCCAACAAAAGCATTTGAAGAAATGCTATGGAAAATGGAGTTTCTCATTTTCTAGTTTGTTTTGTTTTGTTTTATTTTGTTTTTATTTTTTTTTTTACCCTACAAACAAAAATAATTCCCCAAGTACTTCCTTGGACTTTGCACAGAGGGGGATTCTAAGACAGACAAAGACGTGTACATAGGCACAACTAAAGACCTTTCAGTCCAAACAACTGAGATGGACAAAGAGTGGGATGGGACTAAGCATAGGAATAAGGAATGTGACTTTTCCAAGGTCAACCAACAAGCTAGGAGCACAGTGGAGAGTGTGCTGGCACTGTTGGGTCAGCATTTCTGCCACTTGACCATGCGGCGCCTCTGCGCGTCTGTCTGTCCTGAAATAATGAGTTTCTTGGAGCAGAGCCAGTGCTTTTCCAAGTGCTTGGAAAGTGCCTTGTGCAGCCCTAGGTGTAGTCATAAATAATAATTTAAATGATAATAATAATATTAAAGTGGAGGTGTGCCACTGAAGATGGGACACACTCAGCAACAGAGCCCTAAATCTATGCCCTTCTTCTAGTAAAAGGTACAATTTGCCTCACAAAGCCTGGGATACCAGTATTTACTTCTCTGGACCTGATAATCACAGTCTTTTGCTCTGCAAAAGGCAAAGCGACCCAAGTTGAATTAGGTCCAGTATCTACTCTAACACCTCATGCCCGTAGCTGGCAACTTTGGTCAGCTCTGGAAGGCTTTCTGCAGTTCAGGGGAATATCTGGAAAGAATAAATTAACTGTGGTGGTGTGGGGAGCTGCCTGGACTAATGTTTTTTTCAGAGATAGGCTTTGATTGACACTTCAAATCTGCCTGACAATCTTTTATTCTAAGTGCAGTTGCTGCCTTTCTTCAGAGCAGGAAGAGCTGGTTTGGTTGCTGTCCTTCAAATGATGGATCTTATCACATGGAAAAAAGAAGAAAAAAAAAAAAAAAAAAAAAGGCAAACCACCTGGAAACAGCCACAGGTACAGCATGAAAAAAGGTAAAACTAACTGTATTTATTTGAAGTATTTCTGTTTTTTTCCCCTCTATGCCCTAATCCAATGCCAGATGTATGAGAAAAGAGGCTATACTCCATGGAACAAGAGCTGGCTGTTTTCTTTCTTTCTTTGACTGTTCGCTATGCTGTTGTTTTCCTTCAAGAGATTTTTAATGCTTTGCAGATAGGACTGTGCAGCCCTCCAGTGATGAGTGGACTGGGAAGTCAGTGGGACAACCTCTTTTACTCATTCATTCTACATTGCCTCTTCTACTGCCTGTCCTCTCCACACTGCCTCTTACTCCTTACATTTCAGGCATCCTTAATGCTTGCTAAATGCTGGAATCACATCATTCAGCTGCTCACAGAAGAGGTGACAGCCACTTTTTAAAATGTGATTTAGATATTTGGGTTTTACCTGAGTTTGTCCAAGAAGAAGGTCAGGTCTCCAAACAGGCAGAAGCATGCTTTGAATCCTCTTCTGAACTCACACTTAGGTCACAAAATAGGTCTCTTGTTTGAGATGTCCTGTGTCTCCTCGCTCATCTAGGCCCATCAAAAAACAGCCAGGCTCTTCAGACTGCAGAGTATAGGGTTCTTGTTGTATGTCCAAATATCAGGAAAGATGCCGATAGTAAGAGCTGCTCTGAAGTGGATGTTCCCTTGTTCGCTGTGAATGCAGGTGTGGACAAGACCAAGGACCGAAGCTGAAAGGTGTGCAAGCTCCCATCTGCGTGCCAGCCTGGGTGTATTGCAAGACGGAGACATCTGCAACTTCGCATGCTGCACCACGGATCGGATTTCTTCTTGTCAGGAGCATTTATCTTTGGGATCCTGCTATTCATGGGGCATCACAGACAGGATTACCAAAAGCACTGCTGTACTCACCTCCACCTTGGAGCCGCAGCCAGGCCTTCCCAGCCAGCTCCTTCTCCTGAGCTTCATGAGCAGAAGACAAGCCCAGGCAGGTCATCTCTGCTGGCCGCTGTGCTTCAGCAAGGCAGCTCAGGCTGAGGCATGTTTCAGCAGCTCTTGTGTGTTTCTCCTGTACCCAAGTCATGGATGCATCAAGTGCTTCAGTTTACAGGGCCATCAGCCTGGCAGCTTTCCTCAGCACTAAATTTACTTTTTAAAGTTACATCAGTGTCGTACCCAGAGGGAACAGAGGAACAGATGCAGCCTGTGAAGTCTGGCTTTAATTCACCTGCCTCATTTAATTTCCTGCCCTGCCTTCTAATCAATGAGTCTGCACTAGCGGCCCTGGGAATACAGAGGTTTTTTCATATACAGGAGAATTCAACACAATGGCTGGGCTGGCTGAGCTCTCAGGGTCTTGAGCAGTCTCTGTCACATCTCCTTTGAGGCTGCTTCATTATGGATTTCCCTCCCACAGAAGCACTTGCACACACTCTCCAATCTGTGGCAGCTGCACCACATTTCCTTGCAGGGGCCCGTTGGCACAGGGCAGCTGTGCCACGTTAACCACGTTAGCGTCTCGTCGTCAGGCCGGCTGGAAGTGCTCTCCTTCCAGGTGTTCCTGGTTTTCAGTCACATGGATTTCTTTTCAGGGCCACACGCTGCTTTCTGGGGCTCTGTCGTGCTATTTCAGACAGGCTGCTGAGGGGAAATGTGCCTTGTTACCTCCCAGAGGCTCCCAGCAACATCATGGGGGGCTTCAGAGGGGCTCCTTTCTTGAGGCAGCTGTGCCGATGCTCCCTCGCAGGGCCTTCAGGCCAGGCTGTCGTGCTGTACTGGCCCTGGGGTGTGTCACTTCCCCTGTGTCCCTTCAGCAAGGACAGTAGCACCATGTCACCTCAAAGGTGCTTTCAGGACTATGTTGCCTCAGACACTCAGGGCTACCAGGGCCCCTGATGAAAGGGTTCCTGGCACTTCTGCTTTGGTTAAGCAGACTCCTGCTGTCCTGGCTTTTTTGAGCTCATATTAATTCCAGGCAGTGCTGCCCAGTTGCTTAATCATCTGGTGTCCAAACCCTGGGAGACACGAAGGCTGTCTTTGCCTGGTAGCACCTATTTTGTGAAGCTGCTGCTTTACCTCATGTATTATAATCTGTATCAGATTGCTCTTTGCCTGCTAAAATGGACAATTAGGATCCAGTTGTAATGCAAATTGCACGGTGGAATAAAAACCACGGGGAACAAAATCACAAATAAGTATTTATGTCAGCCTTTGTTACCGCGTGATGGGTCCCGCTCAGTTACTGCTCGCTGTGAAGCATCAGACAGAAGAGAACCTGGTGTGCCTTTGTATTTTATAGGCACAAGCTGCCGAGCTGCTCTGTGTAAGACTGCCTTTAGGCACTCACGGGCCCTGATAATGTGTGTGTGTGCAAACCTAACAGACAGATTGCCGCCTACACTGGAAATTTGATGATTGCCTTGTTTTTTCAAGGCTCTGTTTTATATACTGCAGGCCAAACCCATGGGGTAATTTCCAGTCTCTCTGCACAGGGCTGAGATGACGTGGTGAGAGAAGCATAGAGATGCTGAAATTTCAATCTGCCACATAATGTGCTCCTAATACTGATAGCCTTTAAGTGTGTTGTTGTCATTGGTGTTGTTGCAGTTGTTCTTGTCATTGTTGTCTTCCTGTGTTTGGTGCTAAATGTTGCAAATTAAGAGAAATATTTAAATCCGTTATTGTGGAATTAAACACACAGGAGTCCTGCAAATGCAAATGGAAGAGGTATGTCTTCATTTAAAATGGCAAACCATAGCGATGTAAAGCGATATGCTGCTGGTATAGCTGCTTTTACTGCACATCAGCTTTGCATTCCCCCAGGCCCTAGGTAACAAAGAGTCAAGCTGCATGTTTTCATAGCAAAACTCATCTTTGAGAACTGAGGTGGAATATCCATGCTTATAAAGTGTTATAGCTGGCAGTCAGTGTCTTAAGGGTTAGCTGAGCTTGTTCAGTACCTGTAAGATCCAGCCTGAGAGAGACACCCGTTCACAACCATTGAAATGGTGGCTTCTAGATGACGGCAAGGAACAAGAGTGAGAGGTCGTGAAGCCAGATGGATGATCTGAGTTCAAACTCCTCCTAGAAGCTATGGCAACATAGCTTGTATATCTATTCAGAAAAGTGTTTGCAACTACCATAAATGACTCTAAATGGCCTTATTTTCCCACTAGCATTGAAATAAGTAGCTTCAATGGGGGAGGAGTAAATCCATTTGACTGCACATGTTGCCAGGAATAACCCTCTTATTAGTTATTAGTAATAACCCAATCTATGGCTAGCAGCGTGGCCATCAAAACAGCCAGCCTTATCTGCCAGAGAATCATTGTGCTGCTCCTAATGTTTCCAATTACAAGTGAACAAGGGGAGTTGGAGGGGACTCAAGGGAGGAAGCTCCATAGGAAGCAAAAGACAACATGGAGAACTTGGGTTATAAGCAATGTGTGTGACAAATGAAATATATCGGGGCCAATATATCTTTTGAGGAAGACTTCTGCCAGGCAAGGCTGAGCTCCTTCCATTCCTGACTTTCTTCTAAGCCAATGCATAGAATTTGTATGTTAGGTCATGAGACGGCGGAGGTGTTGGCTCGTTAGCTCATCTTCTGAAGGAAAGAGGGGCTTCTATAACTTGGGTGTGTGAAACAGCAGCTGTCAAGCTCAGGGCTCCGGTCCAGGATTTAGATGAAAATTCTCCATTGAAATCCATGGCAAAGTACCTGATCCCTTCACTGTGGCAAGGGTGCTCTCACACGGCAACACCCTGGGAAATTCTCACTTGGAATAGATCAGATTCTCCTCTCATTTATGCAATTATAAATCCAGTGTAGCTCCATTTGAAACAACTGTTTTCATCCAATGCAAATGAAATCAAGATCTGGCCCAGGCTGTTTTTGTACACAATGGAAACCGACTGAATTATGGAAAACAGGAAACAAATCTAATGTAAATCGAAATGGAAATATCATGCTTTCTGTTACATCAGAATAAATTGGAAGCAACTCTGTTGATTCTAATGGAATTCATCTGGATTTACACCAGACTGTGGCTCAGCATTTGTCAGTTGGCTGCACACCGACATCAAAACGCAAACCATGCTACCTCATCTGAATAGCTTTGAACAATTTCTTCCTTTTCCTTTAAATTTAAGCAATTGCCTCTGCATCCTGATAGCTGATTAGCCTTTTCAAACAAATAAACTCCTGCAAACAGACATCAACAAATGAGCCCTGCTCTCGCTAGCATTTTCAGAATCTAAATGATGAATCTGAAGTAGTGAGCTTGGTTTTGGAGCCACTTAAACTTGCTCCTGTTCCTCTGTGTTCATAATGTAGAGCAGTAGGATTTTGCTCATGGGAGTACAGACCTTAGCAACTACTATTCTGATTTCCCCAAAGTATGTCAAATTCATTGCCTTCCACACTAGCAGTGGTCAGGGCCAGCTATTTCCTAGGATGCACAGGAGACCTTTCAGTAGATAAGAAAAATAATGTCATAGTTCCACTCTTGCTGTATTCAGTCAGATGGTCAGAATGGAGCCATAACCCTCCTAAAGGATCTAGCATGAGCTTGTGTCATGCTCCGTTCCTGCAGGCAAGTTACGACACTTCTCTGTGCCACCGTGCAGCTGGCCATGGGAGCCCGTTTCTCATAAGGCACTGTTCATGGGGAAAATGAGAGGGTTAACTAATGTCTGAACAGCAAATCTGACTCCCTGGTTGAAAGTCACTGGAAAAGCACCATGTCTGAGTAAGAGCACAGCCACATTAGCCCCTTCCCTTGAATCTCAGTTACCCCAGCTTCTTACATAATTCAGTTTTTAATCTATGTTCATGTTTCTCTTTGGATAATTAATAAAATGTATCTTAATTAAAACAAGAGGAGGAGAAGACGACATGCAAACAAACTAAAGCTCAAAGTCAATGGGATTCAGGGAGGGGCAAAGCCATTATTCAAATACAAATTTTGTTGGTAACTAGGCAAACATGGTAATGACAGTCATGGAGAGTGTTTCAAAGGTAAAGAGTTCTCTGAAAGCTGGATAACTGTTTGCCTGTACACCCTTCTTTCAGGGGACTGGCCAGAGCCTGTCGTCTGGATACCACAGAGCGTGGCCTGCAATCAGCATCCTGGGGAGAAGTGCCAGGGGAGTGGTGTGGTCAGCAACCCTTGGTTCTATTTCTCTGCCATGGATTTTCTGTGGGATCCTCAGGAAGTTAATTGGGCAAGATTTTCACATGTGGCCGCTATCTGTGGTTGCCTTAATGTGTAGGTGTTCAGCCTGAGACATGCACAATCACCCTTTGCTGGATAGTTAGCAATAAAACATGCATGGTTCTCAACCAGCATCTGAATGTTCTGGCCACTACCTCTCAGGGTCTTTATGCTCCTATCTGTAAAAATTGTTACAATAAATACTTTCCTGAGTTTACAAAGCTATTAAAGTCTCTCTAATGAAAGAGAGGCTTTCAAAGAGCTGTGATCATTATGGCTTACTCTTGCTTAGGCTTATTCCTGCAGGTCAGCTGTGCTTGATTTGTGAGAGCTTTCTCATTGCTGGCACAGCAGACCCTACGCTGCATGCAATATCTTGCTATCTCATTTCTGTTCTTTACAGCATCACCTGAAATAAATGCCTGCAGCCAGGACGCACCTGACAGTTGTGTTGTTGATACACAAACAAAAGCTCCAGCTTACTCACTGCTCACTCTGCCGTGTACCACAGGCTTATTTCATCCATGTCGGTGAAGTTGGTATGTATGAACTTGGAAGCAAAGAGAAAGCAGAAATGAGGAGTAACTGAGTCCCAGCTCTCTGCAAGAATGCACCATATGCAGTCGTGGGCAACACTGGACTGCAAAGTACATGTAATCCTAGGCAACCAGCTGAAGTCAATGTGCCAAGGTCCTTGGAGAGTCCCAGCAGCATCAATGCTCCTTACTCACTGCCTGTAAACGATCCTAGTGCACATAAGAATAAAACCTATATTGAGGTGGGTGTAATAGGACCACCAAATACAGCCAAGAGAGAATCACAATTGCAGAGATATTTTCTGCTCCAGCAATACAAGAAGATGGGGGGCAGTTATTTGCTTTTATAGGAATAAAATCTTTAGGCAAGGATCTTAAAAGCGGGAATAATTGTAATTTACTGTTCACACTGTGCAGTGGGGAATCATGCTCAAGCTTGTAGCTACAACCTTTAGCTATAAATGCTGTGGACTGGACTGTGCTGTGCAGAGCTTTACTGAGTGACTAGTCACACTGATTTCAGAACAGTTTTCCCCAGGGTATGGCATTGCTCTATGCAAGTATGGATGTGAAACCCTATGCTTGATTCTGATCTTGTATTTTAAAAAATTGAGTGATTTTCAGTGGGTATACACCTGACTTACTTGAATATGTAAGCAAACTGGCTTCAAGAGCTGATACAATCTTGATAAGATTCTTATTTAGTTATTCTTCTAATTAAACCTGACCTATGTTGGGCAGAATCCTATCCATTTCAGCATGAAGACTCTTGTGAACACAGAGCTGGGTCTTATGTCAGAAATCAGGTTTGGCCATCATGGCAATAGAACAGTTTAACCTATAAGCCCAAAGTAAATTTGCAAACTCCATCTGTTTAAAAAGAAATGCATTAATAGATTCTATGACTGATCTCCTGAAATGTCATTTGAATAGTTTTGACTGAGCATTTCTTTTATTCCTGGGAAATTTCAGAGTACAAAAAGACTTCTATTTTCCTTCTTCATTTGCCAAGAATCTCTTTGAAACTTGTTTGTAATATAGACTGAGACTTGGACCAGATCTTTAGCTCACATAAACAGACGTATCTCTATTGACTTCTGTAAAGAGATGCTGATATACATGAGCTGAGTATCAAGGACAAGAAAACGAAAGCAAGAATCTGCTAGGTATGAAGCTTTTTGACCAGGGAAGTAATTTAACCAGGAAATGTGTTATTTCCTAAAAAAATGGATTCTTCCAAAATGGCAATCTTACCTATTTGAGATATGAATGTCTAGAACACATTTTACTGACCCAGTGCTGTCTTTGAAACAATCCTTTTTTATGCTGATAGTTTGAAGACCTTCTCACTGTCTGCTCTGCCTCCCAGGGCACACACAGGTGATGCTGGAGGGTTTGAATTAAAATATTTCATTGTGAAAAAAGTCACAATAAGT